TGAATTATGGTTATTATGAAAATATTCCTTTTTTGTCATACTTCATACGATGCTTTGTGTATCATAGAATCTTACTTCCCAACCAAAATATATAAAGATTCAAGAAATATCCGTAAAATCATATTATCTTGTCAAGCTGAAGAAATAGATGTCTTGAAGTCAAGTTTGTAGGGGTAAAATTCTAACTTAGGCATTGTGGCCACTGTAAGTGAGATTAGTTAAATTATAATAAAAGTGACAAAAGCCTAGATTGCCCTTTATTTCTAATTCAAGGAAAGGTGCAAATTGAAAATATGCTTCGACCGTATATTTAAAACTGCAGTGGCCCTAATGCGATGCACACATCTGATTGATGAATGAAAAATAAACAATACCGAAAAGTGCTAATTCTAAGCCTTAACGCACGCGTGTGCTTTTTAGGTGAATGTCGTTGGTACGATGTCGCACTTATCGACGAAAGTTCTCACTTTATTCGGTATGAATTGTCCAAACATGAATCACTTCGACTTCTGGACACGGAACAAATTCACGATTAACGCGCGGTGTTACGTAATACTCTGCGGGTGAACCAATAAACAAACAATAATTAATCCAATTAATATTACATATTCTGTCACTAAATTGTTAATGAATCCAATTCACGGAATTCGACTTTGTATGTGATTACCACAATCCATCCCCGGTCAGCCATCCGCATTTTAACGAGCAAACAAACCCTCCGTCGCAAACAGCCAAGGGAAAAAAATTAGAAACCAACACATCTTGTCGATGATGTAAAATTCATGCAAGCCGTTTTAAATATGACCCAAAAGAGCATATATGGTTATGCGAACGGCAACTCCGATTTCGAATTGAATTAAATGTGTCGTTACGACGTTATAATTATCACGATTACTACAAATGAAGTAAAACAAATACGGAAGCCTAATTATTGTTTGTTTTCTCCAATGTCAAATACTTAACAGCTTCCGATCTTAAAGTTGAAGGATGACTGACACGTCGCGTGATGGAAGAGAACTTCGCTTTAACATCAGTTCAACGAGCGGCACATCATTGCTTAGTGAACGAAAAAATACAGAATTATGCAAAAGCTTGTAAATTAAGAGAAGAAAACCCATTCACAAAATATATGACGAATTCGTGCCCCTGAAAATATATCCTATCTAACTTTATATAGAACAAATCGAATAACAATTTCAAAATAAATGATTCAAGAACTGTCCGTCCCTTTGTAACATTTTTTATTTTAACTTTATTGCATCGGATGTCTGTTTCAATTCATTCCAGTAAATCGATATGGTGAACGATTACATGACAAAAGCAGAAATCTCACGAACCCAAACGGCTTCAGTTTCAGTACTTCATACTTATTAGAATAAAAATGCAAAGAAAATGCTATAAATAAGCTAAATGATCCTTGCTTGGACTATATGGCTTCCATTCTAAAGATATGCACAAAATGCCAACAAAATAAAACTTCTAGCATTGATGCTACCAAGTTAATGAAAACTGCATAGCTGCACACGATCAAGTAAGAAATGTTGACGAATGCACCATACAGTGTTGTTTTCTATGGTCCATTTCTTGGCAATGAGCGAACTCTGATCAGAAAATGGTCCCAAATTAAGTGATGAGAGAAAAGTCGGAAATGTAAGATTAACTAACAAAAATATCTCATCGTTGTTTGTGATGAATAACTTTGATTGAGACAGATGGACGACGTAAACCCTGAGTATAGCCCATGGTCACTAACCATTGTCCATTAAGGATGCCAGATATTTGCAACGTTAGTTATTTAACATATTTGAGTTTAACGTGAACAATGGTTTTTTGTATACTGTTATTCGAATCTACAAAAACCTTCTCGTTTAATTGCATGAGAGCCATTTTGGAGTGTTTCCGTTGAACAGTTGATGATTCCACCTTCCCCCAGGAATTTGAGGCTCGCGACAACCCAAAGTGATCAGATGTTTGCAGATTAAGATTTAAATGAAACATTATCGGGTAATTAGGTTTTCGTCAAAATACAACGTTACTAGAAAGTAGAAACATTTAAAAATTAGCTGACTTAAATCCGGTTACATTTATATAACTGATTTTGGTAGTATATATTTCTAAACGCTTGGCACAAAAATTGTTGATGAACAAAAATATATTTTGT